TGGGTCATCTGACCTCTTGATCAAGGAGGCCAAGGAGACCCCACCAGATGGACTTGAACCAGTGTCCAGTCTATAAAGAGGAGGGTCAACACAGAGGAATCATTTCCTCCATGCTTCCAAGCGAAGCCAAGCATGGTCGAGCAGGACCTTTGACTTATCTTCACATAGGCAGAACTGGTAAAAGAAAGGAGCCAGGGGCTCCTCCCAAGTGCATGTGACCCCTGAGGAACAGATCCTCAAACGACCTTTGGAGTAAAAATAAATTGGTTTATCTGGGCCAACTGTATGGCCTTAAACACCCCAAAGGAGAGTATAACCAAAAGTTAAAGGAGCTAATATAATTTCTTAAGAGTCCATATGTATAGCTAAAGGCATAACATACATAACAAAGCAACAATGCCAGACAGGAGATACCTTCTTTTGAGTTGTTGGCCAGGATAGCCAAAGGGAGTCCCAGATAGTAACCCAACGTAGAACTGGGAAAATGAACAGCAGACCCCAATCTTATCTAAAAGAATATTGACAAGTGATTACTGCTACATGAGGAACAGCTGACCCTCCTCAAACAAAGACCTCTAGATAGGCTGACTAGATTCACCAGAAGGGTAAGTAGTGGGGAATGGCTGGGGTTGCCAACAACCCAGCAGACAGTAACAGGGATATCAGAGTATAAGGACTCTAGTGGGGGGAGGGAGGCTATGGGAGGGTGCCATCTGCTAAGTAGTTGTATAGTTGAATAAGATGGTTTGGGATGTTCTGTGTGATATACACACCAAAAAAAAAAAACCAACAAAGTTTTAAAAATGTATTATATTTCAGGAGGAACCACGGAAATTTACTTCATACTAATTAGTAGAGGTGATAAACATTACCACTGAAATCTACCTGATGACTTCATACATATACGCAGGCACCAAGGATCCAAGTGACTAGTAATAATCAGATACATACAGATTAGAGATGCATGCGCCATCACCTCAGTGTTAGTAGCAAAAACAATGAGTCTTTCTGCAAGGAACAATATATTCTAAAATGAAATGGAGATATTTTTAAAGGTTAAAAACTCATTCAATTTTATGTCTTACAGGGCTTATACTGAGTTCAATATTGTATAACTGTATTAACTCAACTGTGAACCTAGAAACTTGCACCCACTTGTGAAAGAGATGTACTCTCTTGCTCTGGAGTGTGTTACTGAATATGTTAAAGCTGTAGTAAAATGCTTCTTCTAATCATGTATCTATTAAAATTTTTAATAAGTAATGATTAAAAAAATAATAATTCTTCCAGGCATAAAAATTTGCTCCTTAATAATTAGTAGATGTGAAAAATACTAACATTGAAATATACCTGATGACTTTATATCCATGCTCAGATGCCAAGGAGCTCAGTAAGTAACCAACTGTGATGAGTAATAATCAGATATGTAGAGATTAGAAAGGCATGTGCAACATCTTAATGTCAATTGCATTAAAAATGAATTTTTCTGTATGAAACTGTGTATTTTAATAATGAAATTCAGATCTTTTTTAAAAGTCAAAACCTCATTTAATTTTATGTCTTAAAGGTTTTATACTGAGTACAATACTGTGTAACTGTAATAATTCAACTATAAAACCAAAAATTTACAGCCAGTTTTGAAAGAGATGCATCTTAGCTTAGGAAATTGTTATTGGATATGTCAATGCTGTTGTAATAAAACGCCTCTTCTAAGTATGTGGTTATTAAATAAATAACTGAAAAATAAATTCATTAATTTAAAATTTTAAAGTAAAATAAAATAAAACTTTTCTAAAAATTTTAGAAAGTTCTTAAAGGCTTTTATGGACAAAAACCTCTTCATTAGAGCTTGACTTCAGGTCAGAAAGACTATCTCATGGTCCTGCCATCAGGAAGCTTAAGAGGAAAACATTTCAGGTTATTCTCTCCTGCTCAAGTTTCCTTCAAGATTCTTTACTAGTTGGACTCACTACCATTTTAATGAAGACTAAGAAATCTTTGGTTTTTTTTTTTTAATTTTTAAGAGAAATACAACACAAATATTTGGTGGCTGGTCCTATGTTCATTAAAACCACTCTATCTCATCCTTAGATTTCCATTGTAACAACTGATCATATTCAGAGAAACTAATGGACCCTTCTGCTGTAGTGATTAATTTTCAACTTAAGTGCCAACTTGACTGAATTTAGAATCACCTAGAAGACATACTTGGCCTGTCTGTGAGGACATTTCTGAGAGACTTAACTATGGAAAGACCCACCCTGAAAGTAGGCAGTACCATCCTATGGGCTGGGGTCCTGGGCTGAATCTGAACACAAAAGGAGAAAGCAAGCTGAGGTCCAGCATTCATCTCTCTCTGCTTCCTGACTACAGGTGCAGCGTGACAAGCCACCTCACCTTCCTGGTGCCACAGCATGAGCTGCTCTTCCTACCACACCTTCCCTGCCATGATGTGCCTGCAAACTGTAAACCAAAACAAACGCTTCCTTCCTTGAGTTTCATTTCTGAGGTATTTTGTCACAGACATGAGAGAAGTAACTAACACAATTGCATTCTCTATCTGAATATGTATCTGAAAATATATCTGAATGCTTATTGTGCTAGATCACTCTATTTACCTTTATCATGCAGAGTCTGATAAGCTAAGCACTAGACAAAGTGTTGTTGAATTATGAGAACACTGTCCCTAAAGCAAAGTTAGATACAGTATCTTCAGTATGCAGAGAAAGGAAAATTAAATATGCACAAATGCAAAGATTTTCAGTTCCCTAGAGAATACATTAAACATAATAGTATTTCTTCACATTGTTACAGTAATAGTAACTTTTCTAGTACTTTTAAGTAAATGTAGCTCAGTCTAGTGAAACTGAGCAACGATCATTCAAGCGTTCAACACTGAGAAACACTTGAGTCACTGGTCTTAAGAAACGTGAGTATAACTTTTTTAAAAAGTGGTTTCAGGATCTTAAATCTTTTTTACTACAAGAGCAAATTAGTATAATAAAAAGGGGGAAAGCAGGTTAGAAGAAAAGAATTAACCTGAATTTACATCCATCCAGTATAAGTTTGTGTTGATGTACTAACATTTTTGTTCTCCGTTTTAGCTGATTTTCATGTGGCAATATACATAAATTTTCATTTGATGTTTTATAAGATTTTCCTACCCATATAAATACAAAAACATTGCTCACAACAGCTAGTGGCCAGGATTCAACTCCTACTATAGAAAGGACAAAAACATTGAGTCTGGGAAAAAAGCTTGCTGTACAAGCAAGAGGACCTGAGTTTGGATTCCCAGCAACCACACAAAGAAGCTTAGTGCAGAGCGAGGAGGATTCTGGAAGCTTCCTAGTGAGCCAGTCTATCCCAAGAGCATGCTGAGTTCCAGATTCAGTGAGAGACCCTGGTTCAAAAACTAAGGTGGAAAGTTGTGGAACTACTGGCAGCTGATCATTGCTGGGTGAGGGAGAGTTGGTCTTCTTCAAAGGAGTGATGCTAGATAGGCTGACCAGGCTCCAGTGGATGAACTCATACCAAGGGACATTTAGGAACACAAATTTGACTTGATAGACCTTAACATATGTGACAGAGTGCATGATATCCAGCGAGGAAGGCATGGGAGGGGGGCACAGATAGGGGAAATGATCTAAATATGATTAAGACGCGGTGTATGAAATACACAAAAAATCTATTAAAAATACTATTGGGAGGAAAATGAGGTGAAAAGTGATAGAGGAAGACACCTGACTTTGACCTCTGGACTCCATATGTGCACATAGAGATACACACATGCACACGCAGACACAGACACACATGCACACACATACAGACACATACACATGCACACACACAGAGACAGACACACAAAGATACACACATGCACAGTCACTACACACACACACACACACACACACACACACACACACTGCACAATTTATTCCATTTGACTCTTTGAAAGACAATTGTTAAGTCTCATCAGTCTGACTTACAGGCTTGAACACAGCAGATTTTTTTGTAAGTTAATTGTGTTAACAAAAGAGGTTAAAGACATTAAACAGAACATTCTAGAATGAAGGATCTTCAGTGAGCAAGTGCCTGCTCGACACAGACAAAATGCTTCTCACTGCTCATGGAAGGTACTGAGGGTGGAAGTTGACGGCATGCAGGAAGAGCACATGTTCAAGTTCACACAAGCACGTGCTGTGAGATGCACACTGTGACGCGCATAGCCCAGCTGAGAGCTGCCTGACATACCTTTTTGGTAGAGCTGATGATTGTGCTAAGCACAGAGACTAATTTTACAATCTCTTTGTTGTCAGAAATATTCTTATAATAATTCTTGGTTTGCACCGGAATGGGTAAGTTTACAGAAGCTATCTCCAGGGTTTCTAAAAGCAAAAAGAAGACAAACAGAAAATTTTCTGTCAATAGTACATGGAACGCATTTCTTTAATGGTAAAGTGAAGATGCTGAAATTTTTCTCCCTTATAAAAGCAATTAAAATAATTAGGAAAATTGACAGCCTTAACGTTTTCAGTACTCTGGGAATGAACCAAAGTGAACAACAACCCAAATACTGTACATTTAGGAAGAAATATTGGATCTTGGTAACAATAGTAAGTTTGCTCTAACTTGCTCTATTATGGTTCCCTCTTCGTCTGTATGGCAGCCTTGAAAAGTCACAGCCTCGCAGTCACAGCTGTGAAAACCAGCAGCACAGTGGTCCGTGGAGAGGCAGAGCCGGATTTGGAGCTTCTCACAGTTCTGAAGAACTGTTGCTAAGTGGCACGCTGAGGCTTCCTGCATGAAGGGCATCCAAGGAATTTATCTTTCTCTAGCTTCATCCTAAGGACACTGAGTTGGGAAGGAGGGGTAGCTCTACCCACAAGTTATTTATAAACAAAGGATAAATAAATACATTGACACCAATAATTACTTAATTTCACATTTAGCATTAACAATGATGCTAGTTAGGGTAAAGAAGATATAAATGCAGTACTCATGTACGAAATAGAAAATTAAAAGTTAACACTATTTTTAGAAAAGAAGATGCTGGGACTAGAGAGATGGCACAGTGGTTAGGGACATTGACTGTTCTTCCAGAAGACCCAGGTTTGAATCCCAGCACCCACATGGCAGCTAACAACTGTCCCTAACTCCAGTTCCAGGAGATCTGACAGCCTCTTCTGACCTCTGCGGACATTGCACAGCACAGGTGCACTTACCTACATGTAGGCAATACATGTATACACATAAAATTAAAATAATACATAAAACTTTTTTTAAAAAAGAAGATACTAGTCAAGAGAGACAGACTTGGGGAATGAGATTGACATTGCAGATGTGGTAAAGCCCTGGCATGCATCTGGAGCTCTCTATAAGTGCATACATGGGTAGGGCCATGAGCATACCCAGGAAAATGCCTGAGTCTTCAACTCTGACTAAAAAGACCTTTAGCTGAAATTTTCCTTAAATAATCACTAAGTAAAGTTTTGATAATATTAGAGTGCTCCAATACAGAAAGAGTCCCTAAACAAAGAGTGAAGGTGTGTTGGTTCAATGTATTAAAGGAATTCACTGCACAATCATTAGTTAGCCACTAAATTAAACAACAGTGGCTAATACGACAAATATACAGACTTTTACAGAATCGGTCCACAAATGCGAGACTTGCTGCATTATAGTATTTTAAATGTTTAGGTGCTTGGTTTTTTAGTGTTATAGATATTCTTTTATTTTTTTAATTTTTTTAACCATCTTTATTTTATATGTGGCAGTACAATTTATACATTAAATCACACTATAACAGAATGATTTGATATGGCTTTAAAGAGAAGAAAAAGGGGAAATTTTTCAGGTTACAAGACCTCTCCACCAGAACAAATTTGAGGGGAAAAAATGATTTTTTCAAAATGGGCCAATGCCACAGATGTATTCCATGACGAGTCATGTCTCAAATGCTTAATTTCTAACAAGAGAGAATTGTGATACATACAAAGAAACAGCAAGTGGGGCCCACACAGAGAAATGAGAGCAGCCATTTGAAGCTTCATGAGGAAATCTAGATGGACTTTTTATTGTCAATTTGACACAACCTAGTGTCACCTGGGAAGAGGGACACTTATTTGGGGAATTTATTCTATCAGATTGGCCTGAGGCTATGTCTGTGAGAGAGGGTACTAACTGGTGATTGGCATGGGAAGGCACAGCCCTCTGTGAGCAGCACCATCCTAGGCAAGTGGGCCTGGGCTGTATAAGAAAACTATCTGAACATGAGCCAGAGAGCAAACCACTAGGCAGCTTTTCCTCCATGGCTCCTGTCTTGAGATTCCTGCTTGAGTTCCAACCCTGACTTCTCTCAATGATGAACTGTGACCTAGAAGCTGAAATAGACCCTTTCCTCCCCAATGTGATTTTGGTCACACAAAATTTATCACAACAACAGAAAAGCAAATCAGGGTGTAAATTCATACCAGAAGAAGTGGGGTGTTGCTATGACAGACCTGACCCTGTTGTTCTAGGGGAGGATTGTGAAAGCGTTCAGAACTTGAGCTGGGTGCAGCAGCATACATCTCTAACCCCAGGGTGGGATGGGGGGCAGATCCCTGAAGTTTTCTAGCCAGGCAATCTAGCCAATCAGTGAGATCCAGTGTGCTGTTACTACTCCAACATTCAGACCATCCTGGGAGGATGGAATTGACTCTGGAACCCTGTTTCTTCCACCCTGTCCCGCAGTCAGGCCACAGCCATAATTTATTCAAAGTGGTTTCTCCAACTGCATTGGAGAAGTAGAATTTCAAGTTCAGCCCCACCCTGAATCTTAACAGAACATCCTGTCTTTTCATCAAGATCACTCATGCATCCTTTCCCAAGCTCTACTGTGTCCAATGGAGATGAGAGGATGAGCTGCTTTCAGTGTTTTGATATATTAATTCTCAAGCATACCCACATTCAGTCATTATCTCTTTGGATGAAGCACTAAACTGAGGTTGCCAAGGAGATGCCCCAGTCATCAGACCCAAGAGTGCATGGTTTTGCTGGGGTTAATTAAAAGTCATTAGTCCAGATTATGGTCATTAATAAAATTCATTCTCACAACCCAGAGTCAATTAAAGACCCTGTCTCAGAAAACAAGCTGGAGAGCAATTGAAGACACACCCACCATAAGTTCTGGCCCCCATATAGACATGCAAACAGATGTATGTACACACACGTACCACACACACAAAAACACCACAAGACAAATGATCATGTTTAACAGGATTAATAATAATAGTGAAAAAGTAGAAACAACCTAACTGCTCATCAACTGGCCAATGGATAAATAAAATGTGGTTCAACAATAAAAAGAAATTAATTACTACAGGGCTGACCATGATCCTACCACTCAGGACATGGGGGCAGGAGAATCATGAATTAGAGATGAGCCTGAACTGCCTAGAAAGTTCAAGTCCAGCCTGAGGTACACAGTGAGACTCCATCACCAATAAACATGGTCTGGGAATGAAACTCACTAGTAGAGCACCTACCTAGAACATGCAAAACTCTGGGTCCCATCTACATCCCTACGGGGGAAACTAAGTGAACGCTACACGCTATTCATGCTGCAGGTGGGTGACTGGTTTGTTTTTTTTTTTTTTTGGTCTTTTTGAAACAGGGTCTCCCTGTAGCCCCAGCGGGCCTGGAACTCACTATGTAAAACAGGCTGGCCTTGAACTCACAGAGATCCACCTGCCTCTGCCTCCCAAGTGCTGGCACTACAGGCTTGTGCCACCACACCCGGCACGTGGGTGACAATTGAAATACTATGCAAAATGGAAGAAGTCAGTCACAAAATACCATGGAGTATAACCCTATTTATAGGACATATCCATAAGGGACAAATCCTTAGAGTTGGGAAGCAGTTCAGTGGTTGCCAAGGGCTGAGGAGGAGAAAGCTAATTGGTACAGGATTTCTTTCCGGGATTATGAAAGTGTTCTAAAATTAGATAGTTGTGAAACACTGAATATACCAAAAACACTGAATTGTGCACTTTAATTATTATTTCTTTAATTCTTTGGTCATTTTCTCACTAAATATTTCTTTTCTTCTCAAGATATGATTCATGATTATATGTGTTTTTAGTTTAGAAAATTCTAATTTTAAAAGTGGGAAATAAAGCAATGTTTCCCAAAATAGAATTGAAATTAATACAATAGTAACAAATGCTTTCTTAGGGTTTTATTTTCTAATTACGGGGAGGGGGGAATGTGGGTGTGTGGGTGTGGGGGGGTGTATGTGTACACACGTGCATGCAAAGGTGCCCAAGGAAGTCAGGAAAGGGCATCAGATTCCCTGGAGCTGGAGTTACTGATGTAGGTGCTGGAAACTGAATTCAAGTCCTCTGCAAGAGTAATATGTACTCTTAACCACCAAGCCATCCCTTCTTCCCTAGGAAATGTTTTCAGCCTAAGTTAATAAATAATATTGTAAGTTATAGAAAAGTCATGCTCAGCTATCTTTATCGTCCTTATTAATACTCTTTCAAAAAAGAACTTGCTTCAGTCTCTTCCTCATGGTTAGTCAATTTATCACCCCCGGGGGAGAGGAACACCAAGGAAATGATGCTGATGCGAGGTCTGCCGACTGCAAAGCTAATTTAAAAGGCGTCTGAGGACTAAAGAAGACATCTAATGTCATCAGCAACTTGGATGCCTTATGCTCCCCAATTTTACAGACTACAAATGAAAACCACAGGATACAGAGCCATACTCAGAATGTGTTAACAAAACAGAACACATGTTGAGTCAAAAATATCTATAACATGCCAGGAAATACTGTTGTGATAACTAGCTTCTCGATAAACTATGAAATTAAAACACTTCTTGTCCTCAGCCATGAATGGATCAGACGAAGCATCAGTTATGCGCCAGTGCCTATGTTAGACACAACAGAAGCAGGTGATAATGTGATACTAAAATATCAGGATGTAGAGCAAAATATTTCTATATTCAAAATGGGTTCATATGTTAATGTTCTGATTGAACTTGATTAGAGAACTGTATAGGGAACAGGAGATGCCTTAAAGCTCTATAAAAGTTGATTTGCAATGACTAATTGTTTAAAGGAGGGGCTGGCTAGACAGATGGCTCAGCAGTTAAGAGAACTTTCTGCTTTTGCAGAGGGCCCATGTTCAGGTCCCAGCACCTACATCAGGCAGGTCACAGCTGCTTATAATATCAATTCTAATGGATCTGCTGCCTTCTTCTGACCATGGGCATCTAAACATACATGCACACACAGAGACACACACATGTAGACATAAATTAATTTTTTTCTTAATTAAAAAATATTTAAATTTTATTTTTAATGTATTTTATTGAGTTTTGTGCATTTCATATAATAGATATTAAACAAATTTAGATCCTCTCCCCTATCTGCAACCCCCATATCCCATGCATATTTCATGTATTCTGTCATATATATTAAGTCCTACACAGTCAAGCATTGTCCCTCAGTGCAAGTTCATCCAGTGGAGTCTAGTCAATATATCTAGAGTCACTCCCTTAAAGAAGAGCTACTCTCCCTCACCCAGCAGTAACCAGTTGCCAGTAGTTCTTCAGCTAGGGTTGGGGCCTACTGCCCACAGTTCTATGCTGGGTTTTTGTCTGATTAAGTCAGCATGGGTCTGCTGCATATTGTCACTACTGTTGCAAGTTCATATGAGCAAGTTCTCAGAGGCCTGGAAACCCGTTTCCTTATGTTCATGCACAAACCCTGGCTTGTACAATCGTTCCACCCCCTCTTCCACGGTGGTCCCTTAACCATTGTGGGTAGAGCATCTTTTTGCAATAGATGAAGGCTATTACAGGGTTCCACCACTAGTCACACAGAGAGAATACATGTCTGAGAGATGCCCAGCCCTAAGTGACACATCTATAGTGGAACCTCTATACCTAAGGCTAGTGAAATAGGGAGTAGAGAGAATACTAGTATATCCCACAACTTTTACCAGCAAAGCTTCCTTATACAACAGAGTATGATGTACACTGAAGGCCACAACTGGCCAAGTTGTAGAGAATAAGAGACTGTAGAGTGTGTGCCCCTGGATAGGACTCCTATAGCAAAAATGTTTACATGTTAAAAGGAGCATTTACCTTGAAGTTCGTTTGCCTCCATTTCAGTATCAGAATCACTATCTTCACAGTTCTGCAGAACAGCCATTTTTCTTTCATGCAGCTTTCTCTGCAATGCAAAAGTATACATTTAGCTTCACCCCATCTGTAAAAACAGCAACTTTCAAATCAAACAATTACTTCATCCTATACTGACCTTGGACAGCAGCTCACTGCTCCACTGTCTGACACCCTTGGGGACACTGATGATGCACTCTACAGCTTTGTTTAGTGTGTGCTGGATGTCTTCCAGGGCAGGGGTCATAGAGATGTTGGGAATGGCCAGAGTGATACTTGCCCGAAAAATGGGAAGATTGTTCGGCTTCATCTTAGATGCGCTGCTGCTGTCTGAGTTAATATAAAGCACAGGAAAATCACTAGTTTTTTAATATTTTATTTATTATTTTTATTGTATGTGTGTGAGTATATTGCCTGCATATATGTAAGTGCACCCATGTCATGCAATACCTGCAGAGGTTAGAAGAGAGCATTGGATCCCCTGGAACTGGAGTCACAGACAATTGTTAGCTGTCATGTGGGTGCTGGGAATCCAACCCAGATCCTTTGCAAAAGCAGCCAGTGCTCTTAACATTGAGCCATCTCTCCAGCCCAGAGAATCGCTATTCTATTTTTAATTCAAAATGGAATATAGTTCAAAATGTTAAGGCACCTAGAACAATGCATAATAGGTATGTAACCAGGCAAACATTTGTTGAATGACTAAATGAATGAATGAGTGCAAACTATTTGAAGATCTGGTTTTGAACAATATAATATCAGTTCAGTGGATCCCAAGTCTATTGACTACAATGTGTTAGTACAGCCTCCATAAAGGAAACTTTTAGGGTAGAATCAAGATTAATAATTGCCTACAATACTAGTTGATAGTTACAAGTAGCTGGGTGCCCACAAATCAGTTAAATGCAGAATAAGCCTGAAAGGAATAGAGAACAAAAATAAGTACTAGAATAACTGGAAGTTAGAACAAATAGATTCTTTGGAATTTCAGATAAACATTCCACAATGAATATATTCCAAACTTGGAGCAGCAACAAATGCAGAAGAAAATAAAATATAACTCACTATCTATGTTCAGTTAAATATTTAGCTGTAGGTTTAAGTATTCAAATAGCTAGATGTGTATGAGCATGTTTGTATGTATCACACATAATTTTATCCAGTTGAAAAACCTGTAATACAAACAGTTATGCAAGTACTGTGATTTAATATGATGTGGTTTAGCATATGAGCCAACATTTAAGAAGTTCTGTTAATACCTCTGTATCTAAAAAAGGACTGAACCGTTCGTTTCTGAAGTAAAATGAAGCTGTGAAGCCACGCCCCACTGAGAGCCTTCTACCAAACTTCTTTACCTTTATTCACCCACTCTTATTTTAAATATGTTCCTATTTGTGTGTGTGCCACATGTGTACGGGTACCCTCAGAGGCCCAAAGAGGATGTCAGATCCCCTAGGAGCTGGAGTAGCAAGTGGTTATGAGCAGCCATGTTGGTGCTGGGAACTTAGCCTGGGTCCTTTGCAAGAACACATGTTCTTAACCACTGAAAGATCTCTCAAGTCCCTAGTCATCTACCTTTAATGAAATATTATGCTTCCTTTTAATTAACAATCATCCAGATAAAATTTTATTAACCTATTATTTTTCTGTCTTAATTACTATTTCCTTTTTCATTAGTTTTCATTTAAAGTTTAACTTCAGAACATCCCTATTTTTCATGGAGTATTGTAGCACACCTAGAAAAGGCAACAACTATTTCTGAACTATACTAAGGAAAAAATGAGGGTATAAAGACTAAAGAAACCAGATGAAGCATCATCAAAGCAGTAAAATAAAGTCTGCTTTAAAAGTGTAGCCTTGGGGCTGGAGAGATGGCTCAGCAGTTACGAGCACTGACTACTCTTGCAGAGGACCTGGTATCTATTCCCAGCACCCACATGGTGGCTAACAACCATGCGTAACTCCAGTTCCAGGGAATCCAACGGCCTCTTTGGCCTCTTCTGACCTCTGAGGGCATTTCACGACATGGGTGCACTTACACACATGCAGGCAATACACTCATACACATAAGATAAAAATAATAAAATATTTTTTAATTATAACCTTAAACTTTTCTCATTAATAAGCTTGGCTAGCAACTAATAATTCAACAATGGAAGAATTTTTTCCATGCTCTCTTTTTAAATATATTTTCTCACCTCAATTAAATTTTTTTATTTTTTATGTTTTCTTTCTATTATAGCAAAATTAAAAATGAAGACTTTATTATGTTATCAAAATTTCAGTAACCTTAGGAAAATTAACCTCCTGAGCCCCAGTTTTCTCTGTTTTAACATAAGTGGTGAGAGCATCCACATGAAAGAATTCTTAGGATAACCAGGATTCACAATACTTAGAAGGACAGGCTCAATAAATGGTAGGGGTTTTTTTTTATTACTTACATTTACCAGGAATACACACACACATACATACACACACACACATACACACACACACACACACGTACACACCAGCCCAATGCCTGATGAGCCAATTGGCCAACTATGCAAGATCATTACCCCGGAAGTTAATCATGTGAGAGAAATGAATGCGCTTGCGAATGGCCTCTAGTGTATTCCTTGTAACTTTCAGAAGAGCATCTGCATTTTGATGGTTAAAATGAGAGAGCAGCTCACGGGCTTCCTCTAACATATCACTCTCTTTCTTCCTTCTGGTGATTGCTGTCAAAGGCAGTGAGCCAGCCCCAACATTGAAGGAGGATACCAAGGCCTCAGCATGTCCATCTCTTCTTGCTGTTCCAGTGGGGGGAAGGAGAGAGATGGAGGGAAAGGAAGAAGGCTATTAAATTAAACAGACACCTTTAAGATATCTTTAAGGCATGTTCTAAGATAAATTATATGCAAGTTCATTATCACCTAAAAGCCCTACTTTTTAGAAAGTGAAGCCATTAAAGATTAGGAAGAAGAAATCAGAGCCCAGGATAGACTAATGGAGGTCTTCCTTCCAAATGTGAGAAAGTAGCTGATAGCTGTGGGCAAAAAGCTACACGGTCTGAGAGACCTGTGTTCCAGTGTGTGCTCACCTACCAATAGCATTAAAAACCTTGGAGGAATAACACCCTCCCCCTCCTCCCTTGTGTAGCAGAAAGTTTGCTCTGCTATGTGCATCTTCAAGAGGAATTCCAAACCATTTTCTACCCTACTCTACGATAAGGGGAAATAAAATACCTACCTCTCCATGAATTAAAACAGAGTCAAAGGCCAGTATCCCATGCAAAGCACTTGTTCAGAATCATAATTCATATTTATAGATATCATTATAAAAATTGGATAGTGTTTATAGAAGTGTGAAATTAATTATTGTAGAGAAAAATTAAAACAGTTTTTAGTAAATGTCCAAGAACAAGCCCCTTTCACGACCTCCTCTCTTACCTGGAGCTTCACTGTTAGAATCCACTTTATGTTCAGCAGATTCTTTTTCACTTTCTTCTTTAGATGGGAAATCCACATCCAACAACATATTTATTAGCTCATTGACTGCTTCCTCCACGAGGGAGCTCTTAAAATGTAGTATCTGAGCACCATTCACACAAAGGTCCTAACAACAGTAACAACAACAAAAAAAAATGAGCAGTCATGTCTGTCTACCTAGTTGTAGAGAGCTCATCAGGAATAGCGGCACAGATTCCATCTCCAAGTGATATTTAACTTTAATATTGTTGGGCACTGCAATGGTAAACCTCACAATTGTCAACTTGAGATCTAGAATCACCTGAGGAAGACTGGCCAACAGTGGGCATTTCCTTTCATGGACTTGGATCCTGGAGTTTTGGAAAGACCGTCAGAAAGCACAAGCACTCAGGCCTCTTTACTCCTTGACTATGGACGATGCAATGTGAGCATGGCCTCAAGCTCCTGCTGCTGGGACTGCTGGTCATGAATGGACTATAACCTCGAACTGTGAACCCAGAGAAACTTTCTCTTAAGTTGTTTTTGTCAAGGTATATTTTTAATATTTTTTATTTATTATTTTTATTTTATGTGTATGAGTGTATTGCCTGCATGTCTATGAATGTACCCATGTTATGCAATGCCACGGAGGTCAGAAGAAGGCTTCAGATTCCCCTGGAACTGGAGTTAAGGATGGTTCGTAGCCGCCATGTGGGTTTTGGGAATTGAACCCAGGTCTTCTGCAAGAGCAGTCAGTGCTCTTAACCACTGAGACATTGCTCCAGCCCCTTTTGTCAAGGTATTTTATCAGAACAGGGAAAGTAACTAAGATAGCCACATACTTCACACTAGCCCCAGTCAGCCAGCCTGTGAAGGAGTATTAGAGACAGGGGAGCCATGTGGATAGCCCTAAGCTACATTTACTTCCAGCAAGGAGGAAATAACTCCCAAAGCCCTGCAGGAGCCTCTCTTCTCATGACGTTTCCTTCATGATATCAATCTGCTCGAGACAGCTTTCTTCTCATCATTGCTGGCCAGTCACTGTCATCTCCTACTTATTTTCAGATCCATCGTCCCTTGCACATTCCTCATAAATGAAACAAGACAAACGTAATGCAATTTGAAGCACTGTGATGGATTCTGTGGAAGATTAGACCGATATATAAACTAGGTAAAATACCCAGAAGCTGTTATTTAGCCACATACTTCTGGGGAAAGCTCAATGAGCAATGGATTTTGATGGCTGGTTGCCATACCAAGTCCATTTGAAGTTTCATTTATTTGGATATTGAGACTCTAATATGTTTATGGTTCTAATACCTCCTCATTCATCAGTCTTGATCTTTACCTACCACTACAGGACACATGGAATTTCAATGCCATTAAAATAGGAACATTCTAAGCCAGGTGTGGTGGCTCATGCCTTTAATCTCAACCCATGGGAGGCAGAGGCAAGTGGACCACATGAGAGCAAGGCCAGCCTGGTCTAAACAGTGAGTTCCAGGCCAACTGGGGCTACAGGGAGACTCTGTCTCAATCCCCCCCCCCAAAAAAAAGAACAGAAACATTCTAATACATTCTAAAACAAATTTGTAAACTCATTATCAAATAAACTTATTAACAACAACTTCACTCAACTCAGAACTCCATCTAACTACAAGATTCTCTACACAGGTTTTTTAAAAGCCAGAGGATGAAGAGGGATGTCCTGAAATGCTAGCCTATTAACATATCATAGCTAGTGAACATATGAACTCACAGCAAGTGGTTACCTGTACAAGACCTGTCCAAGATCAAACCAATTAAAAAATCCATCATGGACTGGGGAGGGACTCTCAAGACTTCACCCTGGCTTAGGAGCTATCAGCAGTTCATGGCTGCTGAGGGAGGGAACATTACTGTTTTTTGTGGGATGGCCACTGGCAGGTTGGTCATGTCCCAATGGATGACTCCACAGCCTTTCACATATGGACAGCATTAATTGGACTCAATGGGTTATTTTTTAAAAAAGCACTTAAACCTGAATGAAAGAAAGGTGTATTAGGGAGGGAGAGAGGCAGAGCTGGAGGCAGGGTATTGGGGCAGATATAGTTAAGATGCATTGTATACATCTATGTTATTTTCAAAGAATAGGTAAATAATGTTTATGATGTTGCATGTATCCCACACATATGTAAATAGATATGTGGCACAAAGGAAGATCTCAAGAAGTACTGGCCATTATTATCCAGCAAATGACATTCACCCATGGGAGTTGTCTGCCAAGTTCTAAATGAATCACCTCATTCTAAATGAATTAGCTCCCCATTCTCTAAGAGATACTGAGTACTGTTTTAAAGACTGCATGCGGCATGCTCTGACTCTACGCTGGAGAGAACATAATGACCGTGATATCCTCATTCCTAGGAAGTAACTCCTCTGTTAACTTCTAGCAGCTCCTTCAGTCTTCCCAGCAACACACACATGCATTTCAAATCCTAAAATTTCTTTCTCTTGAGGGTATTGGACAAGAGAGCTGTCAAAGCTCTCAAAGGTTAATATCATTCTAACAAGATTATTCAAATCCCTCAATTCTTTCTAAAAGAGGACATAATTATAAAAGTGCACACAGCATGGGAACTAATAAGACATGATATAAACAGAATGCGGACAAAGCAACAATAGATTCTTGAAAATGACCCTACATCAAACAAAAACTAAAATCAAAGATGCTGCCTCCTGCCCCTGCTACTTCATCTCAAGGACTCATCTCCATGGCGACATCAGTATAGAAACCCACCCAAAGGGTTCATCTTCAAGTCTCCATGTTCTCCTCCTTTACTAAGCACTGTGGGGCCCTAACATTTCTACATTCCCATTTCTACACAGTTTGAACACACCATGAGCCCTCCAGACCCCACATTTTCTTCAGTTCTATCCATTCCTGACCCCTGGTTCATGCGTCTTCCAAACAAGACAGTTCCTCTCTTCAAGAATTCTTTGTTCATGTCCTTTATTGTCCAGACTGTCCCACATAGGAAAGCCCATTATGTGTCATATAGGCAATACATTAATTGCACAAACAGGTCACAGCAATATAGATGCTTGGCACTGGGGGTTAATGGCACTCAGCACAGCCCTTAATGATACCCAGGAATCATTCCATGTGGCCAGTTGCTTTCCTCTACCTGATTCCATAGTAACTGTGCCTTAAAGACTTTATAATGATCCCCTACCACCATACTCAACCAATCACCCTGATTTTGTAGCACAAAGCAAATAGAGATATTACGTGAAGTCTGTGTAATGCTCTGAGCTTATGCCCTCATTGAGAAGTCAAAGCGGCTTCCATATGAGCCCCCTTTCCTCCTGGTTCTGGTTCACAGCCTACATCTCCATCATCCATGTCTGTCTATGTTCCCTTTTCCTTACTACTTGGTTTTCTGCCTCAACATGCTCTTCAACTCAATGCCTTCTCCAGTGACTATACCAAATGTTTCTATCTTGAAGGCTTGCTATCTATCACCTATCTATTTATCATCTATCTATCATCTATCTATCTATCTATCATCTATCTATCATCTATCTCATTTGCTGTTCTCTCTGCCTGGACTGCACTTCCACAGAGATATTCACATGCTTGCTCCCTTACTTCCCCTGTTCAAATGTAACTATGGAAGTCATTCTGATCATCAACATAAAATCACAACTTTGTATCCTGTATTTCCCTTTATCCATTACCTCCTATTTTTTTCCCACTCAATGTATCACCACCTGACATACTTACTTCTTGCCTTTTTAAAATATTTTAGTTGAGCTTTTGTACATTTCATACAACAGTTCTTAATCAAATCCAGGCCCCTCCCCCGTCCATGCTCACCATCCCCTGGACCAAACTTGTTGCCTTTTTTGTTTGTTCTTTTTTCTGCATCTCCACCTGAAAGTGATTTGTGTGAGGCCTAAGACACTTCAAAAAAAATTTAGAACAAATAAATAGATTGTAAAAAATAAAAAGTTGCCAGGCATGGTAGCACACGCCTTTAATCCCAACACTCCTAGTGGGTGGGGCAGAGGCAGGGGGGTCTCTGTGAGTTTGAGGACAACCTGGTCTACATAGTGAATTCCAGACAAACCAAGGCTACATAGTGATACCTGTCTCAAAAACAAAATGTAGGAGCTAGAGAGATGGCTCAGCAGTTAAGAACACTGGTTGTTCTTGCAGAAGACCCGGGTTCAAATCCCAGCACCCATATGGCAGCTAACAACTGTCTGTAACTCCAGTCCCAGGGGATCCAACAGCCTCTTCTGACCTCCACGGGTATTGCAGGATACAGGTGCACTTACCTACATGCAGGCAATACACACACACACACATAAAATAAAAAATAAATAAATAAAAATTTTTTTAAAAAAACAAAATGTAAAAGTTCAACACAAGGCATTCACTTATATTGGCAATAAAAAATGTATGTTAATTTAGGTTCTATGAATTTGCTACTTAAACTAAAATAATTAATAAATTATAATAAAACCATTGTTAGAGGGTAGTGAAATTGGTACTATTGAATTATTTATGGCATTAGACGCTGGGACCATCCTTTTGAAAAACAGTTTTGCTGTGACTATCAAGAGCTATGAAGGAAGCTATACCATTTGACACAATAATTTTATTTTAGAATAATGACCTTGAAGGAGGAAAAAAGCCATGATACATACATGTATTTATTACAGACATTGGCAAAATTAAAAAAATTTGGGGAGCCATTTAATGACCTGCAATAAGAAACTGATGTATATGATTTCTGTAAAACATTTGGAAGGCATCATTAAATGGTGCCTGTGAAAGCCATATAGTGACATGAAATAGTAACTAAGAGGAGAAAGGTGCTGTGCACGCCTGCCGTTAAGCATAGTAAGAGTCATGAAATACAGCAAATGCAGCAATGATAGTAGAGTTAACCTAAATGCTAATTTCTCTACTTTTAAAAATCTAAAGCTTGCTTTGAAAAATTTTTAACTACATTTTTAAAAACAACAGACCAAAGTGATTTCTCACGTGAAAAAAAATGTACAAATTAGCAGGGAAATTTTTAAAAATCAATGTGAGAAGGGCAACCAGAATTTTAAAATGTAGGCACTAAGTTTTAATTATATAATAACAAGTTAATAGAAAGCAAAGACCACCATCTATGCAGAAAGGTGTTAAGACTAAATGCCCAGAGCTATCCTTAGGAAGCTTGCCTTTGAGGTTGGCACCGTCTGGCACCTGGGAACTCAGATTTGGGTGTGTTCTCACTCTTGCCTGGTAGATAAGCATGGTTTCTATGACTAGATTACTTGTGCAAACAATGTAGTTTATACTGAACATGTGATTCCTTCTGGAAGTCTGGGACTTTTCATAAAAAAGCAGAGGTGTTTCGGCCATAAAACTCCATAAAAACTTGGTTCTTTCTGGATAGAGAGATGGCTCAGTGGTTAAAAGCATTTGTTGTGTTGTTTCAGAGGGCTGGAGCTGAGCTCCACGGAGTCTCCAATGTCCTCTTCTGGCTTCCACGGGTACCCACACACACACAAATAAAAACAATAAATTTTCAAATTAAAAAAAAAAACTTTGAGCATTGAGCAGTGGACATTACTGGGCAAAGTGCTTGCATGTGAATTGCTGCAGTTTCACCATCAGGAAAGACAGCTCTACATGAGCCCTCATGGGCGAGAAGAAGGGTAAGAAAGTCTGTGCGGGCTTCCCTCAGACTTCAGCTGCCTTTCCTTATCACCCAGCTATGGTCCCCCTCTCTGTCTTGGTGATAAGTCTCAGCCCTGAGTGAGCCACATTCTGAATGCAACCTCCCAGTAGGATTGCATCATATTAAAATCACCACTGAAGTGTCTCAGCCCTGAGTGAGCCACATTCTGAATGCAACCTCCCAGTAGGATTGCTCTTATGGACACCTGACACATCATATTAAAATCACCACTGAAGCGTTCATATCACCAGGATGCCCATAGGGAATGTTATATATGAGGTTAAAATGTCATTCCCAAAGGCATCTCTAGCAGTAGCTTGGTCCTAGTATAGAGAAGAAAGTGCCCCATCTGCAAGTACATTTGAGACATACTGGGGCTCTTCGGTGGATTTTAATTTTCATGTGTTGAAGTATGTGAAACTACACTGTCTCCACCCTGAGCAGTTTGAACACAAACTCTGCCTTTCCCAGCATTCCTAGCAATGACTCCAGAAATCCATGCTACAACACACTAGTTTGGGAAGAGAGCTCTATGAATGGAAATGCTTGAAGAAAAATCCTGCCTTAAAGCTGTCTCAGACAACTGTTTTATCAATTAACTTTCACTAAAAGTTCTTCTACAAAAATTCTTCTGTTCTTCATAAAATATGGAAAAATTAGAAATGTGTTACATAGCAATTTCCCTTCGATTGATCTGAAAGGAAGCAATTTGTTAGCAACTGCTTAGATAAAATTTTTCTTCATTTTCAAATCATTGTCAGAGGGGTCTACATTTGAATATATCTGTCATGGAGCAAAGCAGGAAAAAGAACCCTAATTTATGCTTTAAAATGCCCTTTATAGAAGAGTGAATTCAAGAAAACAAGTTTAATGAGAGACTCGGTCTTCTCATAACCTTTGTCATTTGGAGGAACTCTTCGCAGGTGAGGGGCTCCTGCTGGGGGAGCTGGCAAAGTGGCATGCTGCTCATATCTTCTAGAATGGCACTGATGCGGAATTCAATCAAATCATTGACCCGGTCAAGCAGTAGTTCCAAGTCATCTTTAGAAAAAACAAAATGAATAAAAGGCTGAGTAAATCATTCCTCAAACACACACATTAAATAACAGTAGTAGCAGCAAGATGAAAATCTCTCAGGCTGCGCGTGTCCCTGGAACATTTGGCTGTTCAATATTTGGTTGTTTATGTTGTTCCTTCTTTTACAGTCCCCAGCTCTGACTCATCTCCACAGGAAGCCACCTGTGACTGTGTGTAGGGAGTGGTCCTGTACTGCCTGTCACCTGGGCAGCCTTCCATCTCTGTGTGAACCACACTCTACTCTTGTGTCTCCTTTGGTAATTCATTTTTTCATCTTTACATCTTTTGCACTTATGCCAGTACATATTCCAGAGAATATATCCAACAAATGTGATTAGAATGAAATTCTGCTACTTTTTCTTTTAATAGACATGACACTTCCTTAAATCAATACCTTCAAAGCCTAAAGAATAAATACCTTAGCATCAACCATTTCCAAGATAATTATTCAGGCAGCTGCTCAGGAGGCCAAACAGTTCTTCCTGGCAACAGTATTCACTACCAAAATAAAGTCAACCCTTCTCCATCAGTGTGTGTGCTCAGTAAAACCCTACTGTTTCTACCTGATTCTTCAGAGCACCTCCAAAGACATTTGTGGCAGAATGGAAAGATGGTCCCCCAAGTATCTTCAAGCTTTAACCCCCTGGGGATGTTACCTTATGTGGAAAAAGGGACTTTGCAGGTGCATTAAGCACCTTAGGATGTGGAGATCATGTTAGATGATCTGACTAGAGCCAGAACTTGTCATAAGGATTCTTATAAGAGAATAAAAAAGAGTGAGATGAAGAAGAATATGACCATGGAAGCAGAGGGGCTGAGAAGTGTAGCCATGAGACAGCTCTAAGCATGGCAGTCATTCTCCAGCTGATGGGGCAGCCTGTGGAATCTGGAATGTGCCCTTCTGGAGTTTCCAGAAAGAACCATTGCTTTAAATCCAGTCATAGGAGACTCTGGATTTCTGACTTCTGTAATTATGCTATGTGAAGCCATGAAGTTTGTGGCAACTTGTTATGGCAGCAATTTCAAAAACCAACAAAAGCATGTTCCTAGAAGTTCTGCTTACTATTCTGAAAAATGATTAGCGCTCTTCAAAATGTGTGGTACAATGTATCATCTGTAATTAGAAAGGCTGGCTCCGGTAATCCAATGCAGAATCCAACTGTTCTTGAGACTTAACATAGTTTGTCTCCTAAAGAAACTTAATTTGGGGCTTAGAGAGATGGCTCAGTGTTAAGAACACTGGATGTTCTTACAGAGGACCAAGGTTCAGTTCCAGCACCCACAGGGTGGCTAACAACTATCAGTACCTCCAGTTCCAGGGGATCTGACACCCCTTCTGGCTTCCTTCCATGCATGCAGGTAAAACATTCAAACACATAAATAAAAATATATAAATCAGCCAAGCCCTGCACTCAGGAGGCAGAAGCATGAAGATTTCTGCAAAATTGAGAGGCCGGCCTGGTCTACATGGGGAGCTCCTGGCCAGCTGGGGTATAGTGAGACCCTGTCTCAAAAAAAGAAAAAATTAAATTTAAAAATTTTGAAAGAAACTTGAATTTTCTTCTTTAGTTTCTTTGTTTGAATTAGAAAGCACAAGAGACATGTGAACCAAGTGGCATTTCCTGGGCAGCTCCCTCCTTGTCTCCAGCTAGCTGACAGAATATCAAAATTGCTAACGCTCTTAATCCAAACAACTCTCCAGGGAGAACGCGGCTAAAGACTACCTTGGCAGTCGGTTCTAATTTGAGTATGATAACTCTTACTATGAAGTTTTTATGCATCTTATAAATGCCTCCTTAGAGACTTTTAGCCAATTTCCTCTTGTTTTATTTCCTAAGGAGTTATATTTTAGAAAGAATATTAGCTTAAAGACAAAGAAATTGGGTTCTAATCCCATATTTTTTAGTTGACATTAGGTGTCGCTTAGCATGTCTGGGTCATTGTTTTCCAACCTTTAAACTGAGCTTCCTTTTAAATATTGTTTCACAGTTTTCCACATTTTTCCAATAGTATGCGATCTAATTGTGCATCATCTTACAGTACCATACCTTAAAACCGTAATGAGCCTAAAATGTACTTCACCAATACACAAATACTCCTTTACAGTTTATCTTTAAATCTAGTCTCCACTCTAGCAAGCAGAATAAAGGCAGCAGTACCCAACCACAACCCTTACTTCATTCTCTGCCTCCAACCCAATCCTTCTGAGATATTCTTGAGTAGACTGAACCTGCTAAATTAGTAGGGAGACACTTCTGAATCCTAAGCTGCTTGGAAAGTGCACTTAAAAATGTATAGATAAGATAAGCTTCTAGTAATTAGGGTCATCAATATACTATGTCCTCCTACTTCAGTTGAGAGAGAGAAAGAGAGAAGTAGAAAGAGAGAGAGGAGGAGGAGAGAAAGACAGAGAGAGAGACAGAGACAGAGAAAGCACAAGGGGTATCTGAAAGAAGATCCCAGGAAAAGGCCACCCACAAAGGAGGTGATGGAACGGAGAGGTTAGAAGGGGGTCAGAGACATGAACAAATGGAAATTATGTTATGAATCAACAAGTATTGGAGCTCTACCACACTACAGTGACACAAAAGAAGTAGAAGAAACAGCTGGATTTTTAAGTCCTTTGCGGTCAGTTCTGGAAGAAAGATGAAATTGGACTATATCATTTGAAGACCTCTGAAGTGAAAAGCCTCTAATCCCAGCTGTCAACATGATAGAGGCCCCAGAGAAAAGTGAACGTGAGGTGATGTGTTCAGACTAGGATCCTTGGAAGGAGACATCCTGGCCCATATAAAGTAGGTAGAATTGATCTGTGAAAGAAAAAAAAATGGCAGATAACATTGGGTGGGAAGAAAGAATGGAAATGTTTAAATCTTTTAGGGAAAAACTTCCATTATGTTCCAAGCCATATATTCCCATGTCAGGAATTTCTCAGAAGCTAATATATTCTAGAAGGCAGTCAAGGAACTCTGGCAAATGTCCCCACAGAAGAGTTCACCTTTGGAAAACCAACGGATAGTGACATAGGAAAGACTGTGGAAAACCCCACAGAAAACCATATTCCCAATCATTTAATGTGAATCCTCCAGGTGGACTCAAGCACAGACTTCCTTTCTAGTAAACCTGTGCATATTCTGAGATTGAATTCTATGGAATATGCCACCTTACATGTGTTTTAAGTTTTACATCCCTAGTTAAGGAAAAATATGTCTTCAATTTTTCTCATTCAAAATGTTGTGTCATTCAGCACAGAGCTCCATCAAAATCTTCACATGTTTCAAATTGGGGAGTCCAAAAACACTAAGGGGAGCAAGAGTAGCTCAGTTTTAATGCAGTTGTCTACCATATTTGGAGCCCTGTCTGAATCACTGAAAGAGGAAGAAGAGAAGGGGGAAGGGGGAGGGAAGGAAAAGGAAATATTTCAAAATACACTAATCAGTTAGTATAAGAAGCTAAATGTCATACCCAACAATGAGAATAAGCAAAATTATATGAATAACCTCTGGGAAAAATTAAATAATGCATATTTATCATTTCCAAGAAATTACTGACTTCCTATGCTTTGTTGCAGTTCATTATGGGAGTTTTGAGTCACCCCTCCTCATCTCCTTGTTTATATTTGCATATTAAAAACTCAGCTCTGAAAACTGAGAAACAGAAAAGATCTAGACAAACTCACTGATCTTTGCAAAAGCATTTTCTAAGTATGGTCCAATATTCAGTGACATCCAGGTCAGGGCAGCCAGGCCAGGCTGGAGAGCTTCATCCACTTTAGCCAAATGTGGGACCATCAGTTGCTCAATGGCAGGAGGCATTTTTGACTTCACTCTCTGGTATTCAGATAGCATTGTCTGCAATGAGACAGGGTTGAAGAAGCACCTCATGCATCACTTTTCATATCCATCGATATCATTTTATCTTAAAGTATGACTATTAGGGTCAAACTATTAGGCTGTAATAGTATGGCAGGCAGAACACTGAAAACAAAATAAGAACAGATAGGAGTTCTCTCTACAATCACCAGCTCCTAACCCAAAAAGTTACAACTGAGGATGAAGAAGAATTTGAGAATTGGTTTCTTGGCCCCTAGCCAACCTCAAACACGACAACGCAAAGTAACTTTTCTAAACCATGTAAGGTCATAAGAATCGTCTCTTGGGATTTTGTCCCACTAGGCTCACTCATTCTGTTTTTTTCTGGGGCAAGATGCATCCTGCTGCTCTGAGCATCTTCAATGGACCACATTTATCACTACAGTTGTCTGAATTACCAGAGCCCATTGTATTGACTGAATCCTGACACAAAACACAAAGTACACAAAGAATCAGGAAACAGTGCTGATTTGCACAAGTGCCTTTAGATGGTTTTAAATACCACCTCTTGGCTAAGGTGAGCATCCTAAGTGCATCGAAGGTAAGGCAAGCTAAGCCATGACATTCAGTAACTAGGTATAATAAATGCATTTTTCATTTATAATATTTTCAACCCCATCATAAGTCAAGGAAAATCTGTGTAAGCAATACAAGGAGAAGAATTTTACCTGCTTTGTCCAATGTGCTATAGTCACACTAGATGTCAATAAGTATTTCTTTAATAAATCAGTTAGTTGTTATCAGAAAAGGAATTCGTGATCTGAAATTTAGGAGTTTGGGTTTTCCATTAAAAATTACCTATAGTATAAAGTCAAACTATGCCCCTCTTCTGTCCCACGTTACAATTCTCAAACAAGCTTTGGTTAAGGCTTCCGGCCTTCCTCTCAGGGTATTTTAATGTAGTTCTTAAATACAAATCGTTTTCACCCCATATTCATGTGTACTGGAACTACTGGTATTACCTTGATAATAGATCAACATTTCCCAAAAATGTTTTCATTGGAATACTAAGTCCAAGACATTGTATAACAAAAATGATTCCTGGATGTCTACATTTGAAAAACGCTATACAGTGTCACAATTAATAATCAAGTTCTGAGGAACCTGGCATGTGGGTATAAGAAGACCTGATGGCCTTTGAGAATGTCGTTAAACCTAACATCTCCCAAATGAGCTCCACAAGCTTTTCTTCCTATAATACTTCTCCACATTTTCCCTAATGCCCTTTCAATTTCTATGAAAGCCACTTGAGAAAAGCCTAAATTTGACGATTCTATTAGCAGCTACTTATACATTTCCTGCAGCTTTCAGCCGCTGCTTACTTTTTTTCACTGTCCATCACTTATTCTATCTGGAAGATGGTTCTTAGAATCCATCTCCAGCAGGCTTGCCACTCCTCACCTTTAATCCTTTAAACCCAGGAACTTTTATTCATCCCTTTTACAAATGAGAAACTGAGGCTTAGACGGTGAAGTCATTTACTCAGAGATAATGGATTGAATCCAGATCAGATTGGTTTCAGAATCAATACCCCTCATAATTAGCTTATATTAGATCATCCCTCTCCAGTTTCAACTATCTTCCAAGAAAAAGATGAATAAAACAAGCTCTCAGCTACTTTTGCATTATCTGTAGAAGCCTGGAACATCTGTTAGATATCCAGCACAATAGCATTGCACCTAGGGGGCTTTAGATGGTCCCCAAGTGGGCCAATGAATCTGTTCTTACCAGCCCGCCATGTTACACAGGGACCTTTAACTCTTTCAACCTTCAAGACATAATAAATGTCAACCAGATGATAATTCGTGTGTTCAAACTGTTAGAACTGTAGCAGCTTAAAAAGTTTCTGTCCCCTCCTTTTCCCATGGGGTTGGGGCTATGCACCCTCCCATGAATCAAGGTGGGGATATGGAAGCTCATATGGCACAAGAGAATTGATCCTGTGAGATATCTGGGGCCATGATGGAGGCCACATGGCCTTTTATTCAGGATAGCACTTGCTCCTGAATATAGAAGACATTCTACTAGCCGAAGTGTCCATTCTAGCAGCTCATGAACAGATGTCCCAGTTCATAATCCCAGTGAAGCATATCAATTCAATACTCACTTAAATCCTTTCACCACAAAACCATGAGATACGATGAAAAATTTGCTAAAAGCCCCTATATTTGGGGGTTGTATGTTACCTGCAACATGTAACTAAGATAGAAATTCTGTGAGAAAAATTATCATTAGCAATTTTATGGTTGTATAAATATGATTCACAGTAAAAGATATTTTTGTAAATATATAGATGGACTAGGTATTTTTTTATGTGAAAGAATTTTAAAAAGAACACCAACAAGATAATTAGTATTTTATGGGTCCTTGTTTGAGAAATGTCTATCTAAGGCCAATAACTTCTTTTTAAAAAATATTTATTATTTCTATTTTATGTGTATGAGTGTGTTGCCTACATATGTGTAACTGCACCTGTGTCGTGCAATGCCCACAGAGATCAGAAGAGGGCATCAGATCCCCTGAAACTGAGGCTACAGATGGTTGTTAGCCACCATGTGGGTGCTGGGAATCGAATCAGGGTCCTCTACAAGAGCAGTCGGTGCTCTTAAACATTGAGTCATCTCTTCAGGCCCCAAATAACTTCCTTTAGTTTTTGGTTTATTTTTATTTTATGTGTATGTATGTTTTGCTTGCATGTAAGTGCACCTATGTCATACAATGCCTGCAGAGGCCAGAAAAGGACATCAGATTCTCTGAAACTAGGTGTTGTTGGCCATCCTGTAGGTGCTGGGAACCAAACCTGGGTCACCTGCAAGAATAGCCAGTGCTCTTAACAGCTGAGCATCTCTCCAGTCCCAAATAATTTCTTAACATAAAAAAATAGTGGAAAGAGAGTAAATGACAAGTCTGGGTTCTGGTGCTAATTCTGCCATTTAGCTATGAGATTTAATTTCTCTGAACCATCTAGTATTTTATCCCACCTTCTTCCCATGGTGGTAAGAAAGATGAAACTAAGTAATAAACATGAAAAGGCTTAAAATAAGCTGATAAGGAGGCATGCATCTCTTTAATCCCAGCTATGTGAGAGGCTAAAGAAAGAGGATCACAAATTCAAGGCCAGCCTTACTATAGAGTGAGTTCAAGGCCACTCTGAAGAGTTCTGAGGATATAACTCAGAGGGCCCTAGCATGTGTGAGACTTGGGGTTCCATCCACACTACAGTAAAATGAAAGTGGAGGTAGAGAGAAACAGATAAAGAGAAGGAAGCAGGGAAGGAAGGGAGGGAGGGAGGGAGGGAGGCAGACAGATGCCTTTAGTTGTCTTTCTCAAGGCGGAAACTTTTGAAAAAGGAAAACACAAAACTGAAATGAGTGTAGTGGTAAGTGGCCCGTGTAATTACTATCTCTCATCTGTAATCTTGAGAGAAGAAAAAAAAAAATACCAGATTTAAATATAGGGAATCTTAGAGCATTAAAAAAATAAAACCAGTTCAT